GGAGGGAGAGGGGCGGGGACTGAAGGGCGCGGCGTTAGTGTTGGGCGTGGAGGGGGGCGCGGGATAGGGGAGGGACGTGAGGCTACCGGGCAAGGGAGAGGGCGGGGGGCGGCGGGGGTGGGGGCGCGGCCGAACAGGAGCTGGAAGAGGGGCCTCACCTGGCCGTGGTCAAGGAGCGGCTGCAGCACAAGGGGCGGCTTTGCCCGTTCGCCAGCCGGCACCCTCCTTGTCCCGGGTTGGACGGCAGCGGACGCCGACACCCGTTGTTGACGTGTAGCCGCCTATGAGGCTCTCCTTGGTTTGTTTTCGACCACACTCAGAGTAGGACAAAACAAGCTACAAAAGTCGTCAGTTTTTATGTGGAGTTGATACGTACCCTGTTGCACGTTGCTTGTTGATGGTAACGTAGGCAACGGTGGCGTTATAGCATGCCAATGGAGCGGGGGGGGGCGGCGGGGAGCGTTTGACCGAAAACCGGGGATGTCGTGATTCTGTCCCCGGGTGACCTCCGTTTTTTTTTTTTTGCGATAAATGTTTCTCATTCATGTCTGAATGCTCCCTCCAAATTTTGTGTCGTGGGGATGTATGAACAGTCCAGAATAGACTATCCAGGGTAAGTGGTGTACGGGGCTGATTCTTGCCGTAGCGGCATGCAAAATACCGAAAATATACCCATATTTGAACAACTTTTTTTTAGCCTAACACCTCCTTTCGGTGTGATTTGTTTTTCGTGGTCGGCCATTGACAGGAGCAACCCGTTTATGCCCCAAACCGGTTATTTTTTTCATTTTCGATGCACATATCACGCCGTACAGGCAAACGGAGGCGAATCCCGCCCCCCACGTCTGCGTCAACAACCCGGGGATATCCAATTTTCATCCCCTGGTGGCACCGAAAAAAAAAAAACTCGAGTTTTCTTGAGGGTAAAACGGCCCGGAACCATGTTGATGGTTGGTTGATTGCAGGGTTTGAAACCGTTTCACGACCCAAGATTTGGCACACATGCGCCCAACACAATGATCGTAAAGAAAAATCAAGTTTTTTTTTTTCGGTGCCACCAGGGGATGAAAATTGGATATCCCCGGGTTGTTGACGCAGATTATTTATTTGCCATTATTGTCTCCCATCATTGGACTCTGTCGTCTGCCCCTCTGGCCCCTATCCTCCACTTCTACCGGCTAGACGACCCAACCGGGGTCACATAGGAGAGGGGGGTTGGACCCCCTCCTGCGGTTCCTGCCTGAGATATTTTTTATCGCGAGAAGGGTACAGCAATCCCTTCCCTCGCGACTTATGAAGTCGATCATGTTTAATAACAACGAGCTTTGCAGCGCGTCCGCTTCCAACGGAGATCAGGATTTAACTAACGAGAAAAAACTCACTGTGAGGGGGGCGGGATTTGCCTCCGTTTGCCTGTACGGCGTGATATGTGCATCGAAAACGAAAAAAAAAACGGTTTGGGGCATAAACGGGTTGCTCCTGTCAATAGCTGACCATGAGAAACAAATCACACCGAAAGGAGTTGTTAGGCTAAAAAATAGTTGTTCAAAAATGGGTATATTTTTGGTTTGTTGCGTGCCGCTACGGCAAGAATCAGCCCCGTACACCACTACACTCCAACTTCAACTTGGGCAAACGGAAACAGCTGTGCCTCGTCACTAACGACGATTTTTTTGTTGGGGGGGGGGGCAGATAGGTGGTGATGTTAGCTATCGTTCGATACCCAAATATCTTCGTAGTTGGTTTTACTGTCGAAGAACGAGCTTTTGGCGCGGGAGGCGGCTTAAGTGGTTGTTAATACCCGCCGCTACTCTATAGACAGATCTAAGAGGATCTAAGAAGGAAGGTCATTTGTGCCGAATAGGGTGCCTTAAACTCTGGCACCTTCTGTCTACCGCCATACATGTGTACACTGCTGTACAATGGTCACTCCGGCCCTACAATTTGCCCGGTGTCTGAGGCGTGGCGTGCTTCGCTTTGGGCATCGCGTGCTCTTCTAGTGGAGTTCGATCTCGCATGAGACGACCGCAGCCAATTAATTATCATGTGAGAGAGTTACCCCGCCGAGCAACGTGTGACCAATCAAGCGATAGAGTAGCTTTGAAGCGATTGTCGACACCACCGAAGTGAAAGACCAAGGATGCCCAGGCCGAAATCAGGGCTGTCGTTTGCATCGGTACCAGAGAATCGATACCAGAGAATCTGGTGCGTATGAATGAGATCCGCAACAACGTCACAACAAGAGCTTCATCATTCAGAAAAAAACGCCGACAAAGAAACAACAGTTTTGCAAGATACAGGGAGGGAGGGGCAGGTGCGCGAGAGGCTCGTGTTGACGTACTAATAGTGTCAGAAACGGTCAGCACGATATTTTCGATCTCGTCGTTCTGTCAGACAAAACCTACAAAGCATCTGTTACGGTCCATGCATCGGCCGTCCAGTCGCTCCGCTCTGCCGTTCGTTGCGATTTTCTTCCCGCTCGCTTTGGCTCACTCTGTTGTCTCATTCTTTCGTGTAATACGGTTGATTCCTCGCTCTTCTTGCTGACATGAACAGCCGCAGCTTCTCACGAGCCACCTTATCTCTCGAATATACAGCGTAATCTCCCTTTCCAGTCAGTTGTTTGTTCTGTGGTATATGTCGACCTCCAGCCAACGTTGCTCTTTGGTCTGCACTTTTTGTAGTAACAAGAGTGATCCAGATCGCGCCAGCGATCGGCCTCAAAAACATCAACATATGTGCAGCACCGCATTGACCGTTTCCTGTCGAGACTCTTCCATGTTCGTTACGGCACCACAAGGCCCTTTCGGGTCAACTAGCTTCCCCTTGCTTTGTCTACAGCTCTCTGTGCGTCCTGCCAGAAACAATTGCTTCCACGATACCAAACATTTTGGGGTGTAAGAGAAGTGAACTTTGAGGTTCAACTCATTTCATGCGATTGCATAACGCTCAAAAATCGAAATCCTAAATACTAGTGGAAGCTCAGTACAACCCATCTAGGTGGCGAGGCCCAGTCCGAGACAGGCCAACATCCGACCTTTCGAAAGAATACAGCTATATCAGCAATGGGATGGGAGTATGAGACACAGCAATAGCACCAGGGTAAACAAGGCAGGAACAAAAAAAAAAAGGACTAGCCCAAAACGGACAAGATTGTTCGCTCCCTATTTGCAGCTTAGCCACAACGGGGCCATGCGGGCCATGTCGATACGTACTTGGCAAGAGACGACCCTGATACACGTAGAGCGCGAAGCGCACGTCTACCGAAAACCGTAGCCATGCAAAGATGATCCACCGACAGCTTCCGGCCATGCATAGTCTGCACCACATGCTGTAGTACCCGTTTGCACCCAAGCACCCGGCGTCATATGCATAAACCCGATAGTCTTCAGACCACTGCAAGTATTCCCCACCCAAACTTTGAGAAGGATATATGAGTGCACGTCTATTCGCAAGAGACAAATTTCTTCTTGCTTTCAGCAAACTCACTTGTAGCAAATGGACCATCGACAATCCCTCGGAGGAGAGGAAATCGCTGCCGAAACTAATGATCGACGGCGCGAAGCATGGCCACCGTCATGATACGTGTGGTCACCAAAGGCCGTCACCCAGCATACCAACGTCCATCCAACCATCCTATTACGACCACTTTCCTTTTACCCCGAGGCTTCCATGTACACGACAGAAGAAAAAAAATGCCCACACACAAAGAATAATTCACCTGGAGAAAGGGACCGCCGTCGTTGCTAACAAAAAGTTAAGCGAGTCTCAAGCAGCAAAAACGGAGTGGGGCCTATCTATGACCACACACGGAGAGAATCGGCGAAAGGAAATTCACCGCATGCGACGTGTTAATCATTGCGAAGTACGCTGTCAATGACGCAACATGCTACCGGTTAGGTGGAGTGGTCCCGCCTCCGACAACCGACCAACGTTGCCGTCGTACACCGGTACCACGCGTCGCCGACTGTTGTCCCAAGGGATACAGGGGGCGTTTCGTCGTGGCACCCCGCTAGACTACAGCAGTACATCCGAAACATACCAGTGCACGCAACAAGCCATTATCTGAGAATGGGTACACTGGGTTGGAAGCGCCTGGGCAAAAAGGAAACAATTGCTTTGAGGTCGTCAAGACAACAACGCCGATGATGAAGCGACAACACCACCGTACCACCTACTTTTGAAGTTAAGAGGGCGACCACGTACTTCGAAGTCAAGATAGCGACGATGACAGCAACGCAGGGACAGTTGCTGCCCTCACGCCGGAGGCGTTTCTAGAGGAGGGAAACGCTCGGGCTTGAGAGGCACGGCCCACGCCGGTAAGGGCGGCAGGGCCTCCATCTTCCACAGCGCCAAGCAAACTCCGACGACGACGACGAGCACCATCACACACGCCCCCAGCAGCACCGGCACGTCGCCTTCTTCCTTCTCCTCGTCGCCGCCTTCCTCCTCTTCCTGCGTCGTCAGGCTGTCCCCATCGCCGTCTTCCATCTCGGCACCTCTAAACGACTGCTTTTTTTCGGGAAGAATGTATACAACGTGCACGAAAGCAGCCAACAGAAAACCGTCTAATATGCGAGAAATAACAACATGCACGAAAACGACACCGGAAGGCCTTCAGGCAGAAGTCAACGAAACAAGTCGCAAGGTTTTATGAGCGGAACCAACAATTTCTTCCGGTCGACGGCGGTCCGGGCGGTTTAGGAGGCAGAAAAGGGCTGAAGCACACCGAGTGAAAAAAAAATGCATCTAGTTTACGGCGGAAAAGTCGGACGGGCGAGCAGCTTAGTCCGCCAGACAACAGCCGAGTCGCAGCAGAGCCGACGATGCCGGTGGACCCTAGCAACAGCAAGTCGGTTAACAAAGCAAAACGTGAAGAAGACCAACATCAGAGCGCAAGAAAGCGACACCAACATATCCTATGCCACTCGAAAAGCACCGTCACGATCAACCGCGAAGGGAAGAATGGCTGATTCCCAGGCCGTTTCAGTAAAACGCTTCGTTTGTTGTGGAACATGGTATGACAAGCAATCGGAAGCTCATTCACAAAGCGCACAGCAGTGTTTGATCATACCCGTCACGGGACTTCACCAAACACAAAAGACATCCAGCTTCGGGGTGAAGATAATTGTAGGTCTTTCTCTTCCTGCGTGTCCTCCAAGTCGCTCAATCGAGCGAACACGGTTGGGGGAGGAGGGGGGAATCCCTCCCAGTGTGCCATAACACTAACAGTTGTTCTAACACAAGGTAGAGTCTCTACACAGCCACAAAAATCGATGGGTAGATAGCAACCGGTGGTGGCGGACAAGAAGCCGGCTTGTTTTCCCACCTCTGAATCAGCTTGCATGCTTGCGCCTCTTCTCCGACCGAACAACCCTGAGCTCCGGTGGGCACGATGTCGCACACCCACCCCTCCCATCGTAGCTCTCCTCCTGGCAAGGGTGTTCCCAACACAGGGCGGGAAGCGTGGGTGTGTGAACAATATTGTTCTCTATGTGAACAGCCTTGTTTATCAGCATCTTATTTGTTTGTCACTAGTGTAGGCATGTCAACAATGTTGATTTTCATTTTCTCCTCTGAGTTTTCTATGTGAACATTCTTCTTTTACCTTCTTTGTCGCTGTCGCTGTTGTCGTTGTTGCCAACGAAACCATGCTCCTTGGTTCTTGTTCTGCTGGACAACCAGCGACATCGTGTCCATGGCCCCTTACCCCAGCCTCTAAGAAAAGCCTTCCAGACACATACAAAACGCCTCGAACAGCTGCTACGTAAGCCACCCATAGACAATGATCCTGTGCTCCCCGTCAGCCCCACTAGGCGGTGTTCTGCCGCCCGACCCATCCCATCACAGACTGCATGCAATCGTTATTCTCCGACTCATCCATCCTACATAAAAATCGTTGCTCCCTACGGCTGTGGAGCCTGTTGGCACTCATGGTAACCGTTGCTCTCTACGGTTGAAGTGCCTGTTTGACAGTCACGGCACCTATCATACCATCTGCTGCTGGCGTTCGAAGATGCGAAGTCGTTCACCACCCTGGCGGCGGCATCGAGCTTGTAGATACGCCGCACCCCTCCCGCCCGGGTGACGCACTGCTTGATGTCCTGCGTGGGTACCGTCAAGGTCAAAACAGATGTAGGTACCCACGCAGAAGGCGAGAGAGGAATGTTTCTGAATGGTGGAAGAGCAACAAAATGCTGGCAATCGCGACAAAGAAAAAGTCGCATCTTCACCGTGATGATGCACCGACGCAGAGAGAGAGGAATGTTATCGGCGGTGCAAGTAACCAGTGCGGATAATCGTGACAACATTGAGTCGCGTCTTCGCCGTGAAGAGCGCGGGGACAGGAGATCCGGGATCGAGAGACAGGTCGGAACGATTTTTATTACTCCTACTATGAAGACCACGACAATAGCAGCACTCGTTTGTTGGAGAACAGCCAGTGTGGTGATCAAGGATATTGCCGTGCGACCAGCTTCCAAAGGGCGGTGCAACTGCTCTAGACCCAGGGAAAAAAATATCGTGCAAATACGAAAAACACAACCATGCTGTTGGTTCGTACTTGTCGACAACCGAGGTGTGCAGCACCAGAGAAGCACTGATGATCTGATGCAGCACATGAGCAACAGTCATCGAAGTCCGTTGCGCTCGCCCCGCCACAGAACAAGAGGGCTACGTTCCAAAGCATAGAAGACCGTTACAGAATAACTACCACGCGAAGAGGAACAACACGCTCGGGCTATCGGTAGAATGCAAGAGCGTGCACTGGCGCTATCTCTCTCACTCTTTCCAAGATGTCGTCGAGGGTGGTCAACACCCGACGGTTTCGCCTGGGAAGGCTGCGGAGGTCTATCCGTTCGAGGTCACGCCGGTACTCCTGTCGTCGAAACGAAAAAAATAGAAAACAAATCCAACACCAGAACGGGAGATATGTCAAACGAAGCAAGAGGTCTGCTGCACATGCTTCGTGAATGCTGTTGGGAGGAGAGCGACGCGGACGAGCACAAAGCCAGGTCGAGGTCTTGTTGCGGAGCAACAAAAGCAGTCAAGACAATTTCATGCTTTCTGCGGATGGAACGCACTGAAGGAGAGAAACACAGACAAGCGCTAAAAAACAAAGTCGGCGATGTTGTCGGGCGACCGACAACAACAACAACAACAACAACAACAACAACAACGGAGGATGAGGTAGCATATCTCCACGTCAGGCATGTTGGTGTTTATCGCACAATAAAAGCAACATGACACCAACACAACAATAACAACAAGGACAGAAAGAAGGCTGTAGCGTACCTCGACGTCGGGCATGTCCGCCTCGTTAACGCCTCCTTCTGTCTTGACCTCCTCGAACACCTCCTCCAGCGACGCCAGGATGCGGTCCTGCACAGTTTAGATACACAACAGGAGACCCAAAAGCCCTATGTAGGTAATCGAAGGCATGGGCTAAATCAAAGCCAGCCGTCTTACGAAACCTGACCAAATGGGTTGGGGAAATCGACGAAATGGACAAACCAAAGCCAGCTGTCCTTTCAACCAAACCACGCGGAAGTGTTCGATCTGTGCCTCACGTGATACGCAAACTTACAGGTACAGGCAGCAGGTGTTTCATGTAGTCCTTCGTACAACAGAGAGCTAACATACGTCGAAAACACGAAAATACTTGTTATCTCCCATAACAACGCCGTCGAACATACTGGTACCGCCTAAACTCCCAACCTGAGCTGCCTCCGCCCCCCACAGCCTCGGCATCCGGGCCCGGATTGCGTAGATGATCTGCAGGTGTATTTTGACCAACTTGGCTCGTTGCATTAGATCGTTGATCTGGGGGGGGAACGGCAAAAGAAGGAGGTGTAGCACATGAGGGAGAGAGATCAACGCCGCAGACAGACAGACAAGACAGACAGGCAGGCAGGCAGGCAAGCAGGCAGGCAAGCAGGCAGACAAGCGGACAGCAAGGGGGAAGAAAAAGAGGCAGACCGACAACTACAGGATGTCCTTTTCTGCACCATTCCCGCTCTTCTTCCGAATTTCTGAACAAGAGCAGAATAGCGGAAAACACAACTTATCCCTTCTTTCTTTTCTTGAATACCTCTCCTTTGTTGAAGAGTACCTTTCTGACCCCGACGTTCTTGGGCAGATCTAGCATCTCCTTGTGCAGGGCAGCCTCGTCCACGTTGAACGGAGCGTGTCCTTCCTCATGGCTGGGCACGAGGGGAAAAGTTGACAATAAGACGGGGCGATGGATCGCATCGGGTCAGGTCAGGTCGACGCCGCAAGCTGTCGGAGACGGCAAATCGGACATGTAGCGGAAGAAATTCTCGCCGAATATCACTCATCCGCAGCGTCAGCAAGGTCGGAGGAGATGGCGTCAAGGGAGACCTCTAGCAACCATCGAGGGATGGAGCGGACTAACCACAAACCGCACCGTAGACTACTTGCCGGCGTTTCCAGCATGGGGGACGGCACCAGGATAGCGAGATGCTCTGCTTTCGGTTTTGGGGTGCCGTGAGAAGACCGTTCTTGAGAGTGTTGTTGAAGGCCGGACACGGAGGTGAAGTACGCCGCCCGAACAACTCAACCCGCACACACACCGCGGAGCGACAAGGACTATTTTTTTGTGACTTCCGTTGGGAGGATTCTGTCAAAAAATGCGGCAACACCGACTGCTGACACCAACAACAACAGCAACAACAACAACAACAACAACAACAACAACAACAACAACAACAACAACAACAACAACAACAACAACAACAACAACAACAACAACACCATCATCACCACCACCAGCAAGTCGATGAGTACCTGGTGTCAGGATCCTGCCGCGGGTCGTCCCAGAACGACCCCACGTACACCTTGGGAGCGGCGACCTTCCCGCTCAGGCATCGCCCTATGGACCACATGAGAGCCCCGTAGACCTTGAGAAGGCGGTCGTCATCCACCTCTTGGGCCTTGTTCAACACCACCCGCACCTGAAAGAGAAGTTGGGGATGTTGCTATTGTTTCCATTCGTGTTGGTTAAATGTTTGTTGGTAGTGGTGGTGGTAGTTGTAGCGGGGGTGGCAGTGCTGTTGTTGGTGCTAATGATGAATATGATGGTGTTGTTGTTGTTGTTGTTGCTGTTGTTGTTGTTGTTGTTGGTGGTGCTGTTGTTGTTGTTGTTGTTGTTGTTGCTGTTATTGTTGTTGTTGTTGTTGTTGTCGGTATTGCAGTGGTTTCTTTTCATGTCGGTGATGTAACTGTTGTTGGTGTTCTTGCTATTGGTGCTGTTGTTGTTGCCGTTGTTGTTTTGGGTGGTGGTGATGATCGTACTGTTGTTGACGATGATGCTGCTTTTGATCTGATCAACACATCGTATCCGCACACCGTTGAACCATAAGATGATGAAAGCTCGTGTTAGCACCAACCTGTGCCCACTTCTTCGAGCTCCGGCCGCAAGACCCCCACCGCACACACCTCTCGACCCGAGCGAACCTAGCCCACAAAACAAGCGCCAACGTGCTACTAATAACCCGGCACGCCTCCAGCAACAACCACAGCTGTACCAACACCCACAAGCACAAGCAAACCAAGGTTATCGCTAGCGACAGGCAGCGAACACTCGCCCTGTCCCCGTGTTCAGCAATGGCCCTCACGACCTCCCGGAACTCTTCCCCCATGTCCAGCTTGTGGGAGTCGAAGACCAGGAATATGAGGTCGGACCTGTCCGCAAACCACTTCACCACCTGTTCCCCGCGCGTGAGAGTCGAACCGGGACGGTATTACAAATTCAGAGAGTAACACGCCGTTTAACTCGCAACGCAGGACACGTCTCGTGTCGGGGGGNGGGGGGGGGGGGGGGGGGGGGGGTCTATCCAGCCCGAGAAATCGAAATGTGATGATCTGGAAAAAAAAAGCTTCGGGATAAGAAACAGGGCCTGACGTGCTGCGGACGAAAGTTGTCGGAAGGTTAACCCCCTGGTCTGTGGTGCTGTACTTTTCTGCGCCCCCCCCGGCCTCAAAATAGCCAACTAAAAGGGGTGCTTCTTTGTCATGTGCTTGTTGTGCACGTCGAACACGCGTCTTCAGTATGCACACCTCCGGATAAGGGTAACCCCTAGGCGTGCCGTGCTTCTCGGCTGCGAGAATGCCGGGAGTATCGACGAAATTTATGTGCTCCAGGATGGGGGACGGAACGATGGACGCCTGAAGATACCATTGGCCAGCAGCAGCGGTAGCAGGCGGCAGCAGCAGCAGTAGGCAGCAGCAGCAGTAGGCAGCAGCAGCAGTGGGCGGCAGCAGCAGTAGGAAGTAGCAGCGGCAGGGCGTCAATCGCAGATAAACTAGTTATAAGAAAATGATGTAAAAACGAAACGAGACCAAGCAAGAGCATCTCAAGCAGGGAAATAGCGACAAAAGTCCAAAACAAAGAAAAAAGGAGTTGATACCTATTTCGACGCCGAGAGCACCCTATTGAAATACCCATAACAGGTCCCGACCACGTACCCCGAACTGATCGACGAAACAAATACCCCGAACAGGTCGAAGAAAAGGACCAACAGCAGTGCGCACCTGGAACTTTCCGAGGAACGACGCGCCGAACTTTCCGAGCCCCGTGTAGGGGAGTTCGTCCAACATGCACAGCGCCGATCCCTTCACCGTCCTCTCTGCCGACCCACACGTAACCACCTAAAAAACAAAACATGCATCGGGGAGGACAACGAAAACCATTTTCTTTTCCACAGCAATCCATACTTGTAGAGTCGTGTGCAAAACCGGAGACCAGGGTTGTGTGCAACGAAAAACAAGAGGGGCAAAATTAAGGTTAAGGTTGCGACTCCGAACAACGATTCGACACTCCCTCGGAAAACGGCAAAAGAGTAACGAGTCTCAAAATTCCGTCGGTATCGACGGGCACAAAAGAAGAGGAGGGTGTCCCGAAAGAAAAAAAAAAAAAGTGGAACGTCGAACTTTGTGGGATACGCAGGGGGGGAAATATGGGACAGCACGATTCTCCTCGGGTTGTAACGTTTTTTTTTTCCGCCGGTTGTTGCCGGGGCAACGACAGATCGATTGACGAGCTCGGGTACTTTCTTGGGTCACCAACGTTGTCTCATGAAAGGCACAAACCCGAACGATGCAAATGGGTGCTCTGTGGTAGCCAGCACAGTTGAAGATACGCACAGCTCGGGAAATCAAATGCTACACCAGGTGCTGCCATTGGTAATGTCAAACATAGCACTCGTCGTGGTGTCACCTCCATCGAAACTACGTCAGAACATGAACGCCGCGCACCTGGAAAAACCCTGGGTCAGCCTCCGGCCCGATGTTCATCCCCGGAAAGTCTCGGCCAATGAAATGCCGTATCATCTGCGAAAACCGGAAAATGAAAAATGTGTTTATTGCTGCTCGATCAGAAGTCGCTTCGGTTTCAAGACAACAGCTGTGTGGCATCCCACGAATACCCGCATGCGTGATTTACTCATCTAGAAGCATCGACCGTATGCTATTATATATTTTTTTTCTCCCATCATTGGACTCTGTCGTCTGCCCCTCTGGCCCCTATCCTCCACTTCTACTAGCTAGACGACCCAACCGGGGTCACATAGGAGGGGGGGGTTGGAACCCTCCTGCGGTTCCTGCCTGAGGTATTTTTATCGCTGAGAAGGGTACAGCAATCCCTTCCCTCGCGACTCACGAAGTCGATTATGGTTTACTAACAACGAGCTTTGCAGCGCAATGTACCACGCCGACACACGACAAGGCATCGGTCTCATCGAGACAGCACACATCCAGAGCCCGACGCCCCGACGGGGGGGGCGCAGAGAAGCTACCATTGCTTGTAGCGGAAAATCATCCAGTCGAGAAGCCAACAAAGAGAGCCAAAGGCGAAGCAAAACAGTATACGTTGGCACCAGCGTATACCGTATACGATACAAGATTGCACGCCCCCTGGACCGATTTTCAAAGCTCGATTATTCTTCGACGAAGAAACGAACATATACGTCTTCGGAGAGCTCTCGACCAGACGGCTTCAATGCCGCCTTTTTCGGCACCACCGCTCTTTCTGCTGTTGATAAATCGAGCTTAGAGAAATCGGTCCAGGGGGTGTGTTATATTGTGTCACATACGGTAGTTCGGCCAGACACGTCCTCCGTAGCGTCGTCGTCCTGGCTCGGTCAGGTACCGCTGGTAGTTCGCTCTTAGGTCTAGGGATGGACGTGGTGTGACAGACTTCGAGCTGAGGTTGAAGTGGAGCCAGTCTCCTCACCGAAGTCTTCCCCGTGCTGTACTGGCCCAGGACCAGCACCTGTGGCTTGGCCTGCAAATCGGCGTCGGTCATGACGTCGTGGTGAAACTGGCGAGGTTTCGGGAGAGGGGCAGAGAGAGGGGGGGGGGGGGGG